CACTTCCTTCCCCTTTGCCCCTTTTCTTCCTATTTCACATTACCTATTATACTTTTAGTCCTTATTTTGTGTCTATTTCTTTTGATTGGTGAATTGAAACCATTAACATTGATGTTTATAACTGATATGTATTGACTTATCCTTGTCATCATATTTTTGTGTGTTGGATTCTCCCTTTTTGCCTTTAATTTCTTGTCATGCCCAATGGATTCATTCTGCTGGGCTTCTTGAGGTTGTGACCTTCATTGTCTTTCTCTAGGATATTGTCTAAAATTTTTTTGAGTGCTGGTTTGGTATTCACGAATTTCCTCAGGTGCTCTTTGTCATGAAAGTATCTTGTTTCTCCATCAAGTTTTAAAGATAGTTTTGCAGCATACATCAATCTGGGTTGGGGGTTTTCTTTTAGGGCTTGAAATACTTCACTCCAGGCTCTTCTTGACTTGAGGGTTTGTGTTGAAAAGCCTTCTGTGATTATTTTTGGCTTTCCTTTGTATGTGATTTGTTTTCTCTAATTGCTTATAGAATTTTGTTCTTCTGTTGTGTTTCTGGAATCTTAACTATTATGTGCCTAGGTGTAGATTTTTTTTTTGATCATGGCTAGTTGGAGTACTATACACCTCACTTATCTATATGTCAAGTTTTTCCCCCCTGCTTGGGAAGCTTTCTGCCATTACTTCTGCCAGCAGTGTTTTTATGTCATTTGCTCTCTCTTCTGTTTCTTGTTTGAGTCGGATCTGTCTTATGTTATTCTTCTTTGCATCATCTAGCAGCTGGTGGATTGATTTCTCATAGTTCCTTACTGTTTTTGAAGACAATTTTCTTTTTCTGGTCACTCATTGCAGTCCTGTATTCTGTATCTGATATTCTGTCTTCACACGGGCTCATTCTGCTGTGTAAACATTCAATGGATTTTAAAATCTGGATTTCAGTTTTCATATGTTTTATGGATTCTATTTTTTTCCTATCCTGGGATTCCATCATGTTCCTCAGCTCCTCTATTTTTATTTTGTTTGTGTCTGCTCTAGAGTTATTAATCATGCCTTTCACTATGTACACAATCTCTGTTGTTATGTGAGAAATTATTTTTGATTTCATTTTTTCCAGATCTTCTTTCATTGCCAGTTCAGGGCATCCAAGTAGTTGAGTATGAGCTTGTTCTATCTCGTTGCCCCTTCAAGTTGCCTTAGGTGATCTGGAAGTCTGGTTTTGAGACTTGTTTATGTGTCTTTTCATTCCAACAGATGCAGCCTGCTGTACCTTGTTTGAGGTGACTTTTTCCTCTTCCAGTGAGCTTCAATTCTCAGCAAGCCTCAGAGAGGCCTTTTTTCTCCTCCTCACCACTGCTTCAATTCCTGGGTTCATAATGGTGGCCTTCTGGATCTCTGCCCTGTGCTGTCGTGCAGGTGGGGTTCTGGCTATGGCCTGTGCACACTTACGATGGTACCTGTTTGTGCTTCTGGCTGGGGCCTGCCTACCTGCATAGCTATTTTCTGGGAAGGTCTTTGGCTGGGGGCTGTGCACTTGAGTTGCTGGTGTATGAGTGGCCTTCTTGCTGGGGTCTATGCATACTTACCAACAGTGTCTGTGCAGGACTCTGGCTGTTGCCTCTGTGCCTGTGTAGCTCTTTTCCAGGTGGGCCTTTGGCTCTGGCCTGTGGGCCCAAGCTGCAGATGTCTGGGTGGGGCCCTGGCTAGGACCTGTGAACACCTGTGCTGCCTTGGTCCATGCGAGCTTCTTGCTGGGATTTGCTCACACTTACTGAGCGTATCTGGGCTGGCCTCTGGCTGGTGCTTGTGTGCCTGTTTAGGTGTTCTCTATGTGAGCTCAAGCAGCTGGTGTGAGCTCAAGCCAGCCCTGTCTGGGACCTGCATGCACTCATGCTGCTATGGTCCACGTGCACTTCTCACTTGGGTCTCTGCCATAATACTTAAGGACAATATAATACTTATGAAAATTGTGCAGGCTCATCACATTTCTTTGCTAATAATTTCAGACATCAGATAAATCTTTACAAGTGAATGAACCAAAATGTCTGTTGCATCACTATTTTTAAGATTTAAATTAGAAGTTAAAATTATGCTTTGAGTTTTTTATACAATTAGCAATAAATTGCTATGAATGTAGTCACCCCCTCTGCTATAGATATTGTATACATGTATCACATTATAGACTGTATTCTAGAAGTTTATATAATTAAAAAATTGAAATTAAAAAATGATAACAGTATAAAAAATGTTAACATTGTCCTAAAGACCATGACTTTTGAAACATAGTATGGAAAATCCATACAGGGAAATAAACTGAAGCCACTGAGAGATTTAACAGATCTGAATAGAAAAGAAATTCTGTTCCCACCAAATTTTTACATTATAAGAAATGTATGTAAAACAAATATATTAAGTGGGTGAATATTTACAATATATGTACATATACCTTCAATTATATATAATGTGTATATGTATGTATAAATGCATATGTGTAACTTTTATTAAATCCATTTCCACAGTTCCTTAATCTTAATGTAATATTGTAATAAGATATAAAATTGCATTTTTGTGTAGAATTGGAAGCTTAAGTTCAAAATATGTATAACAATTTGATTCAATATATAAATATACATATATGTGAGAATAATAAAATTTATTTTAATTACTTAGCTGTAATTTTCTAAAAGAAATTTCCATATCAGATAACTTTGTTTTTAAATTTTAATGTAGTACAAGTAGATATTAAGAAGAAAATATAAAAATCTCTCTTCTATCAAAAAACCCCTAAAATTTCATAACAATTTTAGCATATGTGCTGATGAATTGAGCACTCAAAATTTCATAACAAAACAAAAGAATAACAAGGGTTAGTATACTGTGTATCATGATCTTAAAAGAAGGGCCGAAATGCTATTAAGAGTACAAGTCATAATCAAACAATCAAATAAAAGATTCTCTCTTGGAAGAAGAAACAAACACAGATAAAAGGATAGAACTTTCTTTTCAATTAACAAACAAAACTGGTGGTATAAATCAGACAATTAACATTTGGAACATGCTATTCACTTGTATTAAAATAATGACAATTAAATATAAAATGACCATTACGTACCCCATGTCCCTGGCATTGCACAGCTGAGTTACACAGCGTTTTGTTGACATAATGGGACACCTGCTCACATATTCCATTAAGACAAAACTAAAATGTTAAAGCAAACAACAACAAAATGTCAAGTCAATAGATAAGCAAATATATTTGGGAAAAGCATTCTATATAAAAGGCACTTCTATACATAAACACAAATCTGGATTCCATTACTAATAAACAACTTGGAGGCAATATCAAAGCAGTATGATTTTTTAAATAAAATACCAAGTATCAGAATTTCTTATAGTTTTGTGTTTAAAAATGAGTGCGGAGTAAACTTTATTTCTTGATCAGCTTATATATAAGCTATATATTTATTAGTTTATTTAAGTGTCTCAAACATATTTTATTTCAATGATAAAATGAATATGTTAAGGTGTGTTTATATGCCCTACCAATTTAGAAATAACAAATACAGAAAAGCAATATAAGAACAGTTGCAATGTGGATTAATATCTATTTCCATGCAGTAGTATAATGTTCTGCTACATTATTATATTAAATTTCTGAGTGATTTATTTAGAATTTTTGTCATAATTGCAAAGGGAGACACACATTTTTTTTCATGCTGATGAATAAGAAATTAAGTATATCTCTCTAATCTAATCTATCATATATTTACTTAGGTATTGATAGATGTAGATGTAGATATATGTTAAATACAATTTTAAAAAGGACCCACAATTAATGAGTGTGACTCAAGGAATTTTCTACCTTCCTACTTTTCTGAAATCAACTGAACATTGTATAATAACAAAAGAGGATAAAGTACAGATTTGAAGTATTTTGAAAACAGTCACAGTGATCCCAGTTCAAATTGACACAGTTGGGGCACACAGAAGCCTCCTTTTCCTAATAGATGCTGATAATTCAGAAGACTCAAGATGAGTAAATTTGAAGAGGAAGAATTTAGGGACTTCCTGAGATTTTGCAACACAACGATGACCGGTAGAAGGCACGAGAAAGCCACTAATGGAATGCAGTGAGCAGCCTGACAGGGAAGAGCTGAGGGCTGGATGGGAATAGCTGCTAACACATGGCTCTGCAGGGGGAAGTTGCCCACCAAGCTGCAGAACTAGCTCAGCTCAACACAGCACCTACCTACCCATTCCTCTCAGTCACAGGATGCAGCCAACACAATACTTTCATCCCAAGGAAGAATGTTCAGAAGAGTTCTCTTAGTTACTTTTCTCATTGCTGAGACAAATACTCAATGCCCAAAGTTAAAGGGAGAAAGGTTTATCTAGTTCACAGTTTGTAGCGGGTTCAGTCTATGGTTGGCTGGGTCCAAGGCAGGGTGGCATGGCAGAGGGGCATTGCAGAGGAGAAATAGTCCATGGCAAGCAGGCAGACAAGAGTACATTAGCCCTCTTTCTGTCCCTTATATTTTATTCAGGCTACCCACCCTAGGGTGGGTGTAGCACTCATATCCTTAATCTTAGCTAGAACTTTGCCAAATCAATCAGTGGACTGATTTAGTCATCACAAGCCCATGATCCCAGAACCACACACTCTAGATTCAGCCACCTCTGAAAAGTCTCTCCAATGACTGCATGAGGTTTTTTTTTTTGGGGGGGGCTTCTAGACACAAGCCATAACACGGGTGTTGTTTCCTAGAGTGACAAAAGCAATGGGGATTATAGAATCCAAGCTGCTGTCCTCTAGAATAAGCATTACTCAGTTAAAGCCCTGGGTGTATCAGCCTAAAAGTCAGCCTCCAAATGAAGGCTGTCATTTGACAAACCCCAGTCACACAGATCTGAATTAGGGATATCTTTATAAATTAAAATGATGTTAGTGTAAAAACATATGTTAACCCGAAGCACCTAATTGCTCAATCAGGAAAAGCCAGATAAATTACCTGAAGCATTCTTGAAAGGTATCACAGACCTTTAAATGCAATGAATATCACATAATAATTCTTAAATGAAACGAACTTTGAAAAATGAGACTATGAAAGTCTCTATTTTTACATTCCTTTCTTTCTCCCCCTCCCTTTCTCTTTATTCTCTTCCCCCCCACCCCAGTTCATATCTGTCTCTGTCTCTCCCTCTGCTCCCCCGCCACCTCCTTCCACCAAGACAATGTTAATGAGCTGGGTATGTGCAAAGAATCAGTCTTGCCCAGCCAGAGAATCACTAGCAGGATCAGAGACATCTGCAAAGGTTTAAGGGACGATCCACTGCTGGTGTGAGAAACAAAAAGGCTTTTAACCACACAGTTGCTTTACCTAGAGGAAACTGGATGGATTCTTGTATTACATGTGATGAAAGCTAACGCTCCTGGGGATCTGCTGTGGCATAAGCATGTCTAGTTTTCAGCTGGTTCATTTCAATTACTGTAATTGCCCTTCTCCTGTACAGAGATGTTGTTTCATTCTTAAGATACATTGCTTTAATTATCAGAAAATATGTTGTACTGTATCATGCTGTAGAGTTCCCTGAATATTTCTACATTAGCTCCATACATTTTAAAAAAATGAATTTTATAGGTACATTTAAGGTCTACAATATAATGACATTCATTGTTGGAAATTTGCACCTTTACATACTCTCTCGGTTCTTATTTTTTCACCCTTGCCCAGCCCTCCCTTCAACCCCTCCATCCCTCCCTATTTACAAATATTTTGTTTCCATTTTTTCATTTTCTCATATTAATTCCATTCCCTTCTTTCATTTCTCCTACCCCTCTAACGTCCCCTTCCCCCTTTCCCCTTTTCTTGCTATTTCACATTATCTATTCTACCTTTTAGTCCTTATTTACACTTGCAGGTTCTCACACTAGAGAAACTATTTGGTATTTACACGTGTGTCCTATTTATTTCACTTAAAGAGTATCACCTCAATGTGCATGCACTTAGCTATAAATGTCTCTAAATTCTCCCTTTTTTTTTGTACTGGTAATCAAACTAAATTCTCATTTTTTATGGATGAGTAGTACTGCATTTTATTAAAAAAAACACCTTTTCTTTATCCAGTCTCCAGTTGATGGGCATTTGGGCTGCTTCCAAGTTTTAGCTATTGCACATTGTGCTGCTATGAACATGGGTGCACATATATCACTGTGGTATGATTCTTTTTGTTCTTTGGAAAAGATACCCAGCAAGGGAATAGCTGGGTCAAATGGGACTTCCAGTCCTAGTTCTTTGAGGTATCTCCATACTGATTTCCACAGTGGTTGCACCAGTCTACACTCCCACC